AGAGAGAGGTGAGAAGACATGAGTCGGGAGGAGAGGAGAGACCATGAATACAGATGAGAAAAGCGGGGGAAGCAGGGAGTTTGTGCAGGTAAATCTCAGACACCAGGAGGGGGTTTCACCAGTCCAATCATGTCTCCATTCCTCCTGCTCCCATCTCGTTTCACTCCTTTTCTATCTTTTTCTTATCTTTTTCTGTCTCCTCCATGTGGGACACTGACAAGTGGGAGGAGATGACTTTTTAGAGATGACTGGAGCAGATCAGGAGGAGGACAGATGGGGGAATACAGTCGGTGGGAGTTGAGGATGGAGCAGAATGAAAATGCTGCGACTTGCTTACAATTAAAAGTAAATGGAAATGAAATGGAGGTGAAGGCGATTGAAATTGGTTTCACATTTCAAGCGGTGAGAGGAATGAGAAATAACGGGCCCTGCGTTTAAGAGACAGACTGAAAAATAAGAATAAATAAATAAATAAAAAGACTGAGGCCAGAGGCTTGTGTGACGCATAAACACTGGCTCTAGATATCTGGAGTATATCCATGTCAAGAGGGTTTTAATGTATAATTCACAAAATCAAAAAGGGAGAGAGAGGGCGCGACAGGGGAGGAATGAATAAAAAGACAATATGACATGGACCACATGGGGTGATGAGTCAATAATGCAGCTGAACAGAAAACAAAGAGTTTAAAAAAAGGCAGAATGGTTCACAGATCGGAGCAGAGGAAGTCAGTGCAGCTCATGGTCTGTTTTGATCAAAGTTTGATCATATTTTATGCACGGAGTACTTAGAACAGAACATTATGATCTCATATTCCTTATAGTCTGTTTCTTCCATTGGAGAAACATTTCTGTGTCACATCTGCCTCAAGTTGTCTCCCTATTTGAGAGCAGTTACGCAAAATTATAGGACAACCTGTTTCCTATGCAGATACAATCATCTGTTTAATTTTGAACCAAACAATTTTTATGTATATGAAGTCAAGACTTTGAGAAGTCCAACCTGTTTGTTTATTCATCAACCATTGGTTTGTGACTGTGTGCATCACGGCACAAAATCCTTTGGCTTCAAAAAAAAATCTAACTTTTGTTATTGACAGAGAAATATTTTTCTAAATACTCAAAATGTTTTCGTTGTTTCAGTCTTGTGTCTACATGAAAAGGGTGTTCAATATGCAGAAAAGCTGTATTTTTAAAAATTTTGAAATGCAAACTTTGAAATTTTTTTGGACTGCAAAATCGCAATGTTTTTGAATGATGTCATCGTCTCATTTAGAACCCTCAACTTCTTCCTCTGTTTCACACACAACCAGTATAAGCTTTATGCTCATGCTCCGCGACTTGTGTCCTGTTTTTGGTGTATTTTTATTATAAATAGGCCTGGCATAGTTTCTACAAAATGTGTGAGTTGTTTTTAGTGTGAATGAACWCATTTCTTGAAGTGGTGCCGTGTTAAAAATGCTGTTCAAACCTGTAAAAACAAATGTTCCAGAAAAGCATTTAAATGACATGGCCYAAGTTTGAGTTTGTTCTAAACCAGGGGAGTTAAACTCATTTTCACTGAGGCAACATGAGCGTTATGGTGACCCTTAAAGTGCCTGTGACATGCATATACTTCAAATACAAAAAAGTCAAAGAAAACATCTTTCTACTTAAGAAAATTGCCCTAATACACATGATTTTACCCATTTTGTCACATAACTGGCCTTTTTTCTTTTGAATTTGTCTCGGCCAAAGCAAAACAGGAAGTGACATCAAAGGGGAACTCATTAATAAAACAAAATATTTGGTGTTTGTTTATTAAAACAACATCATTTAAACTTTAACTCTTCTTCATCTCTCTGACAGTGACTCAAAATAATCAAAAGTAACATGAGATTCTTCTCTACAATCTGTGTTGTTAGCCGTTGTAGCATTGCTCTGTTTACATGCAGACGTTCCCCTTTGATGTCACTTCCTGTTATTTCACATGCAAATATCTCAACAACTGTTCATCTCAGTGGCGTGAAATTTATTTTGCAATATGTTATCAATGTTATTTTTCCAAAAATGTATTCATGTCTATCTAAAGAAAATATGTCACGGGCACTTTAAACTTTAAAGGATCATTAAGTTTCATTTTTAACTTTGACTAAAATCACAAAACGTCACGTTCCTCGTCTCGTTGCTATCTGAGCACCGCTAACAGTAACTGAGCTCTATGTGGTATTTCCTGCTTAGAAACATGATTTTAACATGTTCTCTTATGAATGACATGTATGTTAAATAAAAAATACAGAAATACTATTAAAAGCAGAGGTGTATAATAACTAAGTACCTTTACTGCTTTGAACATTTTCAGTTTTACCAAGTATTTTTTAACTGCATCTTTTGATTTGTTACTTTCAAAAAATAATTTGTTACATTCAAAATTTATTTCTTTATTTCAAA